TTGCAGTTGAGGTGATAAAAAGGCTCTTAAGAGATAGTTCTAGTGTCAATATGAAGGATATATTAATAATTATTCTAAGTTTCAATTGTATCAAGTTGGATATATTATTGCCTATTCATACCATCTTAATTGATGATATTATTCAGATAGAGAATGTATATGATATCATGTTAAAGGAGAAAATCTTGAGTCATAAAGCTGAAATTGCTATAGATATTATCAGTCACATGCCTTCTTTTATATTAATGTTTGTATAATTTTTTTAGAAGTGTAATAATAAATTTACTTAGGTTATGTAGAAGATTTATTTAGTAATAATGCAAAAATTAAGAGTATTAAATATTTTTAATGTATTATTAATAAATTTGAATCTTTGCTTATTATTAATCGGCATTTTTATGCTAATTTTTTTACTGCATTATATGAAAAATATATTTTTCACATGTGGTGAATCATGGCTATGCTTAATCATAATCAGATTTACTTCCAACTGAAGTGGTTATTTTCATTACTAATTGTTATGAGAATAAGTATAAATGATGAATCTTTTTTATCTTTATTATTATTACTCTGCAATTATGTATAAGAAAATATTTTTTTTAGCTTTTTTTTTAGTTTATAATTCAAAATAATTACGTTGTAATCATATTACATGATCCAAAAATTCCTGTACTAATATCATAAATCATTTATCAGCTTCCATTAACAAAATTTTTTAATTAGTTTCATTTTTACTATAACAAAATTTCTTATTATAGAGGTTCTGTATTGTAGTACTTTAAAATTATATATTTTTATATATAAATACTTTGCAATAGAAACGAAGAAATCTTTAAAAAAAATTATATTAAATCTGAACTTATTTTACTAAAAAAATCATATTTTAGCTTATTAAAGTAAATTTTATTTTTATTATTATTTTCTTCTTTTTTATTGTAAAATGCTTATATTTATATTTTTATATTATATATAAAAAATTAAAATTTACAAATTTTATAATTATTTATAAATATAATATTTAAATATAATAATATATATAATTTTAAATGATTTTAAAATTATTAATAATATAAAAAAAGATAAAAATATTAAATCTTAAAAAAATACTTTATTAAAAAAGAATTTATAATAATTTATTAAAGAATCAATTAAAAATTAAGTAACCTAAATTTGCTTGCAGATATACAATATGTATCCCTTAGATTGTAAAGGTTTGCAGGCAAATTTGCCTGCTTATTTATTACAAATTCCCTTCTGATTTACTTTTATGAAAAATTAAAATTTTTTAAAAAAA